TCTGTGAAAAGGCCAATCAATCTGGAAAGTTCCTTCACAAAGTCCTCACCTTCAGCGCCGAAGGGGACGATAAATAAATTCCTTTTCCAAGACACAGCCTCACTGTAGGCCGAATCCAGCAACTGTGCAGCCTCTCCACTCCGCAGAGCCCAGAACCCACCTCCAGGGACAGCATCGGAGCCACCGCCATCACCCGAGGGCGGGTCAACATAAGCAGGATCGGCCGCAGCCGAGGCAATATGGGTTGGTTGCTGGACCGTGGTACCACTATTTCCAGAACCACGGACCGGAGGGAGGTCAACACGTAACTCTCGTGACTCCCCAGCACAATCAGCAGAAGCACCTGCGGAAAGTGGGTCAGCAGCGTCAATTGAAGCCGCCTCCGAGCACGAGAGATCAGGCAGATCCACCCGCAGTGGCTGTATGGATGAAGCAGCAGCAACAGATTGAGAAGGCTGCACAGAATTTGCGGCTCCAGGGTGCAATGCTGCACGGGAACGTACCGTGGCCGACGACTGGGGTCTGCAGACCGAATTATTCCGCCCTCCGCGAGGCACCCACCCCGGTACTGATTCGGGTGGTGCATCAGGCAGCGAACGCTCCCCAGCAGCACCGCCAGTGACAATCGTAACGCTCAGATTAGTGTTACCGAAATTGGTGCATCTTTGGTCCCTGCCGGGGTAGCAGTCGACACAGCATCGTCCCGCTGCGTTGCAGGAGCAAGAGCGGCACGTGCCCGACGCTCTACTGCAGGAACAGCACAAGCGCTTGCTGTTACTTCCCCTGCGCGACTGAGACGACATAGCAGGCTAACACGCGGGCCAGACGTGCGACCAGACGTGCGACCCTGAAGGACGCCGTGCTGGGCTGGGCTCATAGAAAGACAGCTGCGGACTTCAGTTACTGTGCATACACGAGCACGGCCAGATGAAGGCGCGAAGAGACTCGAGGTGTGAAGAGCAGCCTGCACGTCAGTCGTCACAGACCACGCGGGAAAGCACCCAGCCGCGAAGCGCAGCACAGCAAGCCAGCTGATCCAAGGCCAAAGGCGAAGGCACGGAAAGCGAGCCGAAACTACAACGCAATGGCCGGTTCGCCAGGTAAAAGGAAACCAGCTGGAGGGAGGAATAGTGGACTGGGCAACTCCACAGCGGTGAAAAGTACTGGAGCCGACTCCTGAAGCCTAGAAGAAAGTAATGAAATAAGTTAATAATCGGTTGACTGGGATAGTGGATACAGCAATTAGAAAAACTGCGGAGGAGCAAAATCTCCATCCGCACTCCAGTGTAAAGAAACTACTACTACTACTACTACTACTACTACTACTACTACTACTACTACTACTACTACTACTACTACTACTACTACTACTACTACTACTACTACTACTACTACTACTACTACTACTACTACTACTACTACTACTACTACTACTACTACTACTACTACTACTACTACTACTACTACTACTACTACTACTACTACTACTACTACTACTACTACTACTACTACTACTACTACTACTACTACTACTACTACTACTACTACTACTACTACTACTACTACTACTACTACTACTACTACTACTACTACTACTACTACTACTACTACTACTACTACTACTACTACTACTACTACTACTACTACTACTACTACTACTACTACTACTACTACTACTACTACTACTACTACTACTACTACTACTACTACTACTACTACTACTACTACTACTACTACTACTACTACTACTACTACTACTACTACTACTACTACTACTACTACTACTACTACTACTACTACTACTACTACTACTACTACTACTACTACTACTACTACTACTACTACTACTACTACTACTACTACTACTACTACTACTACTACTACTACTACTACTACTACTACTACTACTACTACTACTACTACTACTACTACTACTACTACTACTACTACTACTACTACTACTACTACTACTACTACTACTACTACTACTACTACTACTACTACTACTACTACTACTACTACTACTACTACTACTACTACTACTACTACTACTACTACTACTACTACTACTACTACTACTACTACTACTACTACTACTACTACTACTACTACTACTACTACTACTACTACTACTACTACTACTACTACTACTACTACTACTACTACTACTACTACTACTACTACTACTACTACTACTACTACTACTACTACTACTACTACTACTACTACTACTACTACTACTACTACTACTACTACTACTACTACTACTACTACTACTACTACTACTACTACTACTACTACTACTACTACTACTACTACTACTACTACTACTACTACTACTACTACTACTACTACTACTACTACTACTACTACTACTACTACTACTACTACTACTACTACTACTACTACTACTACTACTACTACTACTACTACTACTACTACTACTACTACTACTACTACTACTACTACTACTACTACTACTACTACTACTACTACTACTACTACTACTACTACTACTACTACTACTACTACTACTACTACTACTACTACTACTACTACTACTACTACTACTACTACTACTACTACTACTACTACTACTACTACTACTACTACTACTACTACTACTACTACTACTACTACTACTACTACTACTACTACTACTACTACTACTACTACTACTACTACTACTACTACTACTACTACTACTACTACTACTACTACTACTACTACTACTACTACTACTACTACTACTACTACTACTACTACTACTACTACTACTACTACTACTACTACTACTACTACTACTACTACTACTACTACTACTACTACTACTACTACTACTACTACTACTACTACTACTACTACTACTACTACTACTACTACTACTACTACTACTACTACTACTACTACTACTCGAGTTTGGATTTTTTCTTCAATCATCTTTCCGATCACATTATCATGGATTTTCAATAAAGTTCTTTGACTACTACTACTACTACTACTACTACTACTACTACTACTACTACTACTACTACTACTACTACTACTACTACTACTACTACTACTACTACTACTACTACTACTACTACTACTACTACTACTACTACTACTACTACTACTACTACTACTACTACTACTACTACTACTACTACTACTACTACTACTACTACTACTACTACTACTACTACTACTACTACTACTACTACTACTACTACTACTACTACTACTACTACTACTACTACTACTACTACTACTACTACTACTACTACTACTACTACTACTACTACTACTACTACTACTACTACTACTACTACTACTACTACTACTACTACTACTACTACTACTACTACTACTACTACTACTACTACTACTACTACTACTACTACTACTACTACTACTACTACTACTACTACTACTACTACTACTACTACTACTACTACTACTACTACTACTACTACTACTACTACTACTACTACTACTACTACTACTACTACTACTACTACTACTACTACTACTACTACTACTACTACTACTACTACTACTACTACTACTACTACTACTACTACTACTACTACTACTACTACTACTACTACTACTACTACTACTACTACTACTACTACTACTACTACTACTACTACTACTACTACTACTACTACTACTACTACTACTACTACTACTACTACTACTACTACTACTACTACTACTACTACTACTACTACTACTACTACTACTACTACTACTACTACTACTACTACTACTACTACTACTACTACTACTACTACTACTACTACTACTACTACTACTACTACTACTACTACTACTACTACTACTACTACTACTACTACTACTACTACTACTACTACTACTACTACTACTACTACTACTACTACTACTACTACTACTACTACTACTACTACTACTACTACTACTACTACTACTACTACTACTACTACTACTACTACTACTACTACTACTACTACTACTACTACTACTACTACTACTACTACTACTACTACTACTACTACTACTACTACTACTACTACTACTACTACTACTACTACTACTACTACTACTACTACTACTACTACTACTGGCATGCGCGCTGGGAAAGATGAGTTTTACAGTTCGCGTGAGACTCGATCAGACCGCATTTCCTCATCCGTAACTAAGCGTAAGAACACCTCAACACTCAGGAAAAGCGGTGGGTGGCGAGTAGATCAGATCCACTTTGACTGACAACACTGTTTTAGAATCTCTCTGCTTCCAAGCAGGATCCTCTACAGCCAAGCCTAAACTAGTAGAATGGTCAAAGATCAGTACTGGGGAACAGAGGGGCTGCTGAGAAGCAGGTTGATAGAGGATGGGGCATGTGTGAAGGGGAGAAGAGGGGCGGAATTGGCAGACTGGGGAATGTGGAATTGACGCAAAACAAAATGAAACCGATGTATTCCATCATTGGTTATAATCAGAAGACAGAACTTATAATTTATAGAAAATAAAAGGACCAAGGAACTACAAGTTACGCTATAATGTCCACTAACACCACCAGTTTCTTGACAATCAGCTCATGCTATAACATTGCACGACACTGACCGACGATACTGACGTTCTACAACTAACTTCCAATCAGCTCTAGCACGTCTTTGGTGAGCACTCCAACAGCCTTCCAACTTGAAAAGTTCTTAGTTATAGGAATATCATAGGAGGGGACAACATAGTAATAACATGTCGTCGGCTATAGGCACCCGGTACCCATGGCTAGTTCATGTGAAAGTCTTTATCTATTGACAAAGTGTTGGAGGTGTAGTACGGGTCTGGCTTTTCCAGCAGTTTCGTCTTCAAGACTACTGGATATTGTGGATAATGAAGTCCTTCTGTACTTTCCTCTCCCCATTGTCATCGGCACGTGAGTGCGGTGTTGTTTCGACTGTTTCGATTCCTTCACCGTACACATCAAAAGTTGTTGGTTGGTTTATGTTTTTTTTATCTCATGCGTGCAGAAAGCGGATCATATGGAGCAAGTGAAGCCGCTCCCTCCATAACAATAGGCCGTGCCAAGGTGTCCAGTGACACACCACGTGTGGTATCACCAGCCAAGTTACCGGGGACCACTATACGAAGTGATCAGCCTCCTGAGACACAACTAAGCCCGCCGCGGACTTCAAACCCACTGGCCAAATTACTGGTAATAATAATCGTACTGGTCTCGTCATCGTCCAGTAACAATCAACATTCTTTGTTCCGTTGAGACTGTAGCTTTTGCTCGTTTTCGTTGCGCTTGCCTTCCCCTCTTTGGTCTTTTCATAGCCTTGAACCTTCCAAGTTGGAAGGCTGTTGGTCAGCGCTACGGAGATGTGTTGAAGCTAGGTGTCAGGACGTCGAATGTCTCAGTACTCTGTCAGTTTTGTGCCTAGTTATTGCACTTTCTGACAGTATAATAGTATCCAGTTACAGTGATGGAGAGTTACTCTTAACTCGTATCCATATGTCCTTTTCTTTTCTACATTTATTTATGGCTCAACATCCGAGTTTCAAATAATAATAATAATAATAATAATAATACAAAAATGTATTATCTACGCATGCATCTACGCAAGAGTCTCCACGAGCAAATTAGGACATGTGTCAATGTATTGAACGTTTTCGTTCCCTTCTTGTCAAAATACTACAGGAATGATGGAAATAAGCTAAAAGACTACAACTATATGGAAAAGAAGTAATTAGTTCAGAGATACATCACTCCAAATATGTGTAGAAATGACACGAAAAAAATAGATGTGAAGAGTCAAGAAAACAGCATGCAAATCCAATAAGTGACAAAAACGTAGTGACACGAAAAAGAGAGAAATATCAAGGGATCTATTTCACACCTTCACGACGAACAGTGCCAAACAACTGCAAAGACAACACATTCTCCTTCTGAACACAAAGCTCAGGGTCTAACTTACGTATGTACAAAGCTTCCAACACAGCAAGATGTAACAAAGACCTACCACGCGACAAAACAGAGAATAAATCATCGGAATACCACTCACGACAACTAGCACTGCCGGACAGGTGGCACCTGATTGCCGAGGTACCGTTTCCCTGATCCGACGACTTGGCCGTTGTCACCTCCGATCCTGCCGCTTGCGAATCTCTCCCATTACGCCCTGCGTCCCTGCAATTCCGATTGCCTCGGTCGACATCAGTGTGCTGCTCCACGTCCAGTCTGTCCTGCTTCCGTGGTCTACCTCGTTTCCTCACATTAACCGTTGTTGTCACTTCCAGTATTGGTTCTTTTGATTCCTCATCAATTCGTCTCTTCAATTGGCTTCTGGTGACTCGTCCGGGGCTCGATTGTTCAGATGTCAGTTTCGGTGGTTTCCGTATCGGTCTCTTCTTCTTGTTGACTGTTGTTGGGGTTGGCTCCAGCCCTGCGCGCGGCGAAAAGGAGGAGGGGTCGGCAAGCATATCCACAGCGGACTTGGACAAGTCCACCTCAGACACAGACTGCACTGGACACTTCGGCGGACGACCACGTCGAGGCCGAGAACCACGTGCAGCTACAGGGACAAGATTCAACGGTACATGTTGACGAATCCGTGCGCCCAGGTGCTGAAAGGTCCTACCTACGTACCGATTTTCACAATTTCGGCACTGAAAGAAATAGATTAAATTAATTTTGCTTAGGGTAGGTAGAACGTCCTTCTTCACGCTGAACGCACGGGTCGTCCAAAAGATGACATACAATTTGACACACGGATAAGAGGAACAAACAATATTCCGCACCTCCTTCTCCACGCGCGAAGAACCGGCACCAACCCATGGCAAACGTAGTACCACAGGGCATCTCTCCGGTCCAAAAGTGATCGTCTTTTCCATGGTCGGTTTCTGGTTGATGAGTTTCATTAAAAGTGTCTTTTGATAGCCATTCTTTGTCATTATCGTTAAGAGTCGTTCTAGTTCAAGCAAATGAGGGGAACATATCCTATGTGCACGGTAGACAAGGGCCTTGACGAGGTGTGTTTTGGACTTAGTTGGAGTAAAACTTGACCCTGGGATATACAAGCCTGTGAAAGTGGGCTTTCTTTAATGGTCGTGTCCATGTTACGAGAAATACTCACACCCAGGAAAGAAAGGGTACCATTATTTTCACCATCTGATGTGAACTTTAATGCTGGATGTAAGGAGTTGAGAGTTTCCATAAACCTATCACAGGTTTCCTTGTCGTCGTCGTGACAATAAACATCGTCAACAAAACGACAGTACATTGATGGCCAAAGTGTAGGGTCGATAGACGACTCGCAGAAGCCAACGAATATGTTCACCAAGACTGGTCCCAAAGGCGATCACATGGCGACTCCATCAGTCTGTTTGTACATTATATTGTCGAATGAAAACTCCACACCAGACGTGACCATCAACATAAGTTTCACGAACTCCGTTTCATTCAAATTTGGGGGAGTGATAGACCTGTTATGGTATAACGCCATGGCGCAAATGTCTATTGTTTCTCGTAAAGGAACGTTGGTAAACAAGCTCACCACGTCATACGAGCACATGTAACCACTTGATTCAAATTTCGAATCTCTAAGTTTTTCCACAAACTCAAACGTGTCTTTAATGCAATGCGTGTTGTACAAGGCAAGAACCGGTTGCAACAAATTGCATAACCATTTCGAAACCTTGTTTTGACAAGAAGGAACGAAAACTTTCAATACATTGACACATGTCCTAATTGGCTGGTGGTGACTCTGGGGAGATGCATGCGTAGATAATACATTTTTGTAATATTTTCTGCCTCCGTCCTAGTTTCAAATAATAATAATAATAATAATTAATGCAATAAATAGAGTAAGCTGCACACTCGGTACAAACACCATTAGCAAAACTTGTTTCCATGTATAAAATCTTGTTCCTTAAACGTTTTCGTGGCCATCTCATCAGAAAAATTACTGGCAAATCAAAACTAAATCAAAACTCAATATACGCACAATGCTTACTCTATTTATTGTGTTAATTACATTTTTATCTCCAAGTAAGCTTTTTTATGATAATAATAATAATAATAATAATAATTTGAGGATTACGCAAAGGCTTACGCCTATTGGAGGATCTCCTATTGTGGATGTACGATGAGCATTGTGGTTGGTATGAAGTATCAGTCCAGAAGACATTGCTTCTTTATACTGTACACAGCCTGCTGCCAGGAGATAGTGCAGAGATTCAAGACACTATAATGAAGCTACATCATACATGAGCTCAACGTTAGAGATGTTCATGCGTACGATCAAGAGTTTATGGACTCTTGGTACGATTAAGTGTTAATTAATGATTGACATTTCCCCCAAATACGGATTCCTTCTTTATCTCTTTCTGTTCTTCTTTTTCTTTGCAGCACCATGTCGTTCTAATTATTAATGTATACACGTCCAAGTTTGGTGACGATGGGAGAGCCCTCGGCGTAATTGCCGTGGGATATGGAAGGGACCCAGACGTATCAAGGAAAACAGTTGCCGGAGTCGATGTGGAGCTACAAAGCATCCTGTCGCATGCCATTGCCATAAATATACGAGAATTCACTGGGGTAAGACACCGTACTACCACTGTGCTATAGGACATGCTTACTAACGTACAAATCAGGGAGTATTGTACTACTCCCTGGTACAAATGTAAACTGAGAGACGATGAATGTACATGTACCATTGATGATTCTCCATGACGACCACACCTGAGTATTTGCAGTCCGTGTTTTTCTCTCTTTCGTGGAGGTTTGTTTTATTCTTGGCTTTTGGCCGTTACTTTATCGCCATCATAATATGTGGCATCATTGCCCATTTTGTCTGCGATACAAAATAAAAACTCAACAACAATAACAACAACAACAACAACAACAACAACAACAACAACAACAACAACAACAACAACAACAACAACAACAACAACAACAACAACAACAACAACAACAACAACAACAACAACAACAACAACAACAACAACAACAACAACAACAACAACAACAGCAACAGCAACAACAACAACAACAACAACAACAACAACAACAACAACAACAACAACAACAACAACAACAACAACAACAACAACAACAACAACAACAACAACAACAACAACAACAACAACAACAACAACAACAACAACAACAACAACAACAACAACAACAACAACAACAACAACAACAACAACAACAACAACAACAACAACAACAACAACAACAACAACAACAACAACAACAACAACAACAACAACAACAACAACAACAACAACAACAACAACAACAACAACAACAACAACAACAACAACAACAACAACAACAACAACAACAACAACAACAACAACAACAACAACAACAACAACAACAACAACAACAACAACAACAACAACAACAACAACAACAACAACAACAACAACAACAACAACAACAACAACAACAACAACAACAACAACAACAACAACAACAACAACAACAACAACAACAACAACAACAACAACAACAACAACAACAACAACAACAACAACAACAACAACAACAACAACAACAACAACAACAACAACAACAACAACAACAACAACAACAACAACAACAACAACAACAACAGCAACAACAACAACACAGTACCCGTGCTGTTTTTCCGCCCAGTTCTGCCTGTTCTGTGGACTAACTTTAAACACAAGGCAGTGCAAATCTGGGACAACACACGGAAAGTTGGGTGTGGTCCTCGAAAGAGTGCTCAATGCACCGGGGTGCAGAGCTTCATACAAAAGTGTGATCTAAACTTCGAACGTTTCACATGAAGTACATAATTATACCGGTCATGCATGTTGGGTAGGCCCGAAGGTCCAATAAACATGATCCCTCTTTCTTCAATATTTGGAGGCTCCACTACAGCCAATATTTGAATAATTAATTGTATCTTTCAACTATCACCTTCACCACCACCACCACCACCACGCCGTGCTATACCCATCTGCCTTCGGATTCCCCTCTTTGCACCAGTTCACCACAGCTCCCTCCTCCATCACGCAAAGCTTCCCACCCTGAGCTCACGACTCCTTGTTAAACAAGTACTACTAGCATGGGACATCCACTACCAAACCTCCCCACCACACCTGCAACAACCACATCTTGCTGCACCACAACGTCAACACCAACCATACGCCCTTCGACAGACAAGGTCAAGGACCTTCTCCATCGGACACGCACACACAAACAGGCACCGAGATTCCCCCATCAACAGTACCCTCACCCTCTGCAACTCACTCCCTATCGACATCACAACCCAACATCGTAGAAATTATTTCCGAAACAATGCATCCAGTCTTCTTTTGAGCAGTACCTGTTCCTGCTCCACGCACCCCCTGGTTTCTGATATCTCGAACGTGAAATCAACTACCTCGATCACCCCTGCTAACGTTTTTTCCCCCGCTTGTTTGTCATGATCCATTGCTTCTTGCCTCCCGGGTAATTTCCATCTGGCTATTTCTGGCTAGTATCAGTTCTATCACACTTATCAATCGTCCTTATTGGCGTCACGCCATCGTGGAATAAAAGAATATAGACTTGTATTATAATTATGTTCACCCTTCAGGCTTCGTCAGAGAGTAGTAGTAATAGTATTTATTTTATTAACATCGGATACCTCAACAGTGATATACACAACTCTTTTAAGAGCCTCCTAAAAGAGGGCCGATAACGGGTACAACAACAAACATGATTTCCCGGCACACCAGAACTGCATACAGTCACGTGTATGTTTAGCGATTTAGAAATCATCAGAAGTTCTGCAGTACACTTGATGTTAATATGATACATGCATTGTAATGCCTCTTTGTAGGCCACACTAGATTGCCATCTTCTAAAACATTACTTCCAGAAATCCATTCTCGACATGAATCATTTTAGAACAAAAACGGCGAGGTAACTAAATCTATTCTGTCTATTCTTTCTTTCCCCGTTTTTATTAGGAACTTCTAGTCCGCTTATATGCGGAGGACATCTTGTATACGATCAGAAGACCTAAGGACGTGTCATCCGTATCAGATTGGGATGAGGTTATATCCGATCTGGATATGAAGCCAATCACATTTCCCGTCAAGGAAGATTGTGTTGTGCAACACTCGGCAGTGATCTATTCGAAAGACAGTGAGTATTGTTCGTATGTTGGGGTTGGAACGTCTGGTCAGCGGACTTCCTGAACATTACCCCTGACTTTCTTGTTAGGTCTGCATTTCGACACTGAGGATATTGTGGGCGAAGTGGTGGCCCGGCGATGCGAACGCCTTAGCTTGATGTGTTCCTCAACACGTCAGGTGATGCGAACGCCTTAGCTTGATGTGTTCCTCAACATGTCAGGTGATGCGAACGCCTTAGCTTGATGTGTTCCTCAACATGTCAGGTGATGCGAACGCCTTAGCTTGATGTGTTCCTCAACATGTCAGGTGATGCGAACGCCTTAGCTTGATGTGTTCCTCAACACGTCAGGTGATGCGAACGCCTTAGCTTGATGTGTTCCTCAACATGTCAGGTGATGCGAACGCCTTAGCTTGATGTGTTCCTCAACATGTCAGGTGATGCGAACGCCTTAGCTTGATGTGTTCCTCAACATGTCAGGTGATGCGGCCGCGAATCCGGCTAACTTTACTTTACTTTTTTGCACCTTACAACTGCGCATGGCAATTTGGCCCAAGGCGTTACTCCTTGCTCCACTGGACCAGGAGCTGTTTGTTTCAACTGCGAACCGCGATCAATTATAAACTCGTGACCTGGCATGAGGGGTACAGTGTCATGTACTTGGATATGGAAAATCGGTTCAGCACTTGTGCCATTTGAGTGGATTCATTTTTCTCTGCTGGCTCACCGACCACTGGGCACTGGGCGATAACAGCTGAACGTGTACATGTATGTACACTTACTGTATACGTCATAAACGCTGTGGACCAACGTGGACTGCCGGATACACTGATTTACTGTTTCTATAATGCATTGCATGAGAATATTAAAAATGTGTACCCCAGATATCTAGTTCTTCCTTGCTGTACAGCAAGTGAATACAGAGCCACTGTAACATGAAAATCCATCTTTGTACTGAACTGCAAAAGCATTACTATGCGCTGGTATTGGTATTGGTATTGGATAGTGAGCCTGTTCTGGCCCAAGCATCAGCACACTGAAACTCTACCAGCACACGGTCTGTTGAGACATGACCATGAATAATTTTAATGGAAAAGCAGAATTCACACAAATACTGCTGAATGTCACTGTGCGTGTGTTTTTTGCGTGTGTGTGTATATGTGTGTGTTTTTTGCGTGTGTGTGTGTGTATGTGTGTGTATATGTGTGTATGTGTGTATGTGTGTGCGTATGTGTGTGTATATTATATGTGTGTGTATGTATATGTGCGTGTGTGTGTGTATGTGTGTGTGTGTGTGTATATTATGTGTGTGTGTATATGTGCGTGTGTGGACATGTTTGTGTTTGCTTCGTTATAATAATGTGCATGGACCCGTACATATGTCTTTTAATTCTGCAGGAAGGGTTAACACGCTATCGCTAGGAGTATCGTACTCCAACAAAGGAATTATCCAAGATTTCGGGGAGTTTACATTCCTTGAGCAGTAAGTTCATCTCCACTCTTAATGACTGGTGTCAGTGTTGTGTCGGTATGTGATGTGATTGAATGTATTTGCAACAGTAATACAGCAATATTCTTGTACCGTTTGCAGGGAAGTCAATGATCTATCGTGATGTTGGTATATTCTTGTACCGTTTGCAGGGAAGTCAATGATCTATCGTGATGTTGGTTATTTACTTCCCGCACATGCATGTGAAGCGTGTATGAGGCTAGCTAAACGTGATCTGAAGTCTCCCCGAATGAGTCGCCCCATCCGAAATATGATTTGCTGCTCCGGCCGCTGTGCGAAACACATGCTCAAACGTTCACAGGAAAACTGTGATATGAATCTGTGCTGGAAGTTCGCGGAAAAACGCAAATGTAAGAAGTTTCCTTTCATCACGTGTCTCTCCCCCCCCCCCCCCCCACACACCCAGATGCCTGAAAACTTATGAATAATACTCGCAAACTGCATAATGACCCACCCGTGTGTGTTTGCGTTTGCATTGCACGACGTACACTGTATTCCCTAACTGTAGAGACGGAGACGCCTAATCGGCATGATCTCTGCTGCTGGCCATCATCAGATGTCTCCCGTAATACATCACCGCCATCAAGACAACAACCGGATTGGGGACCCAAAACGTTTCCAAACCTTCCTGGGAACGTTTTGTCAGCGTACCCAGAACTTGGCCAGGGCAGATAACATACCGCTAAACTGCAAAACACAACCTTGGATTTTTTGGTTCTCTCCCCTAGTATTTTCTGTCTTTTCCTTGTTTATCCTCACTCCCATTCCACACTTCCCCCCCCCCCCTCCCCCATTCGAAAGCTTCTTTTTAGAATACAATTCCAACTGATTTCTCTTTCGCTTCCCTTCATTCCCTTTTTTTGTTTTTTGCTCTCATTTCACTTCAGAGTAATACATGATTGTACTAACAAGGAATTGTGTACTCTTGATGCTAAAAGGTTGTACTTGCAGGAGGTGGCCATTCGTAAGTACAACAAAATACATGAGTATCCCCCATACCACTATTACTTCTGGTGCTCATGCATGCTAGAGATCAACATAGAAGTTCAACTGTCTTCGTAGTCGTCTTACTCGTCCAAAATATCAACCTCTCTTTCCATCATGACCGAACATCAACTACCGGTATGCCTCGTAAAATCATTAGAGTAATATCCACTAGATCAAGTGCATACACCGGCATCGATGTTATGCAATGGGAGTTGTCGAAAAGATTATGGGTTGCATTCATTTTAGTCCAGCCATGGCTGCTAAAATCCCAAGGTCATGATTTCGTATCATGCATAATGTACAGTCATGTAGAATGTGCTTGTACGCGGAGTTTTGCGGACTACCCGTCGATATCTCGTCTCCCCCAGACCCGAGGAAGACGAGTTGGAGCATACAACAATGTACATGTATTGCCATGCTTTTCACTGAAAACACTATCTGTATGATCTCTGAACCCCTTACCATGCAGACCACCAGCGCTGATCACTGTGATCAGGTACATTGTACCCAATTGTATAGCCTAAATGTTAGAACTGTAATACAATCATGTACTTCTGAAGTAGTTATGCTCCTACCTCCGAAAGGGTACCAGATTATGCTCCAAATTTCAACCACCAAATTATGCCAATAATTATGCAGGCATAATCCGCCGGAGCCTATCGCGTGCACATGCACACACACACACACACACACACACACACACACACACACACACACACACACACACACACACACACACACACACACACACACACACACACACACACACACACACACACACACACACACACACACACACACACACACACACACACACACACACACACACACACACACACACACACACACACACACACACACACACACACACACACACACACACACACACACACACACACACACACACACACACACACACACACACACACACACACACACACACACACACACACACACACACACACACACACACACACACACACACACACACACACACACACACACACACACACACACACACACACACACACACACACACACACACACACACACACACACACACACACACACACACACACACACACACACACACACACACACACACACACACACACACACACACACACACACACACACACACACACACACACACACACACACACACACACACACACACACACACACACACACACACACACACACACACACACACACACACACACACACACACACACACACACACACACACACACACACACACACACACACACACACACACACACACACACACACACACACACACACACACACACACACACACACACACACACACACACACACACACACACACACACACACACACACACACACACACACACACACACACACACACACACACACACACACACACACACACACACACACACACACACACACACACACACACACACACACACACACACACACACACACACACACACACACACACACACACACACACACACACACACACACACACACACACACACACACACACACACACACACACACACACACACACACACACACACACACACACACACACACACACACACACACACACACACACACACACACACACACACACACACACACACACACACACACACACACACACACACACACACACACACACACACACACACACACACACACACACACACACACACACACACACACACACACACACACACACACACACACACACACACACACACACACACACACACACACACACACACACACACACACACACACACACACACACACACACACACACACACACACACACACACACACACACACACACACACACACACACACACACACACACACACACACACACACACACACACACACACACACACACACACACACACACACACACACACACACACACACACACACACACACACACACACACACACACACACACACACACACACACACACACACACACACACACACACACACACACACACACACACACACACACACACACACACACACACACACACACACACATACATATACCTTTTGAAGTAAATGAAAAGGCGACGAGGAGACAATAACTTTATTATTGCGATTAATAGTATAAGTGAAGCGGACATTACAAAATGATGAATGAGAGTACATGTATCTAAAATGGTTGTTCCTAATCGATTTTCTTGAGACTATCATCAGGGAAAATCGTCTCACAATAGAGGCTATACGGAGACTGAGGGCAAACACCATACTCTAAACATTGTGTGAGGAATGTAAGGTTATGTGCAATACTACGGCAAACAAAGCTTCACTTATACTAGTAATCGCATTAATAAAGTTATTGTCTCCTCGTCGCCTTTTCATTTACTTCAAAAGGAGATATTCTGCTACTCAGGTTGATTGCCTGAACGCAATTATTAGGAAGCGCTTTGTTTGCCGTAGTATTGCACATAACCTTACATTCCTCACACAATGTTTAGAGTATGGTGTTTGCCCTCAGTCTCCGTATAGCCTCTATTGTGAGACGATTTTCCCTGATGATAGTCTCAAGAAAATCGATTAGGAACAACCATTTTAGATACATGTATTCTCATTCATCATTTTGTAATGTCCACTTCACTTATACTATTAATCGCATTAACATACATATACACACACTCATTCTCGAAATTTCACACACACACACAAACACACTCATTCTCGAAATCTCACACATACACACACACATTCTCTCTCTCTCACACTCACACACACACACACACACGCGCATATCCACAATACTCATCCGCTCATTCTCACACTGACCACACACATACTTGCACCCACACTCATCCAATCACCCACACACACTGTCTTTCTCACGCATGCACACACAAACACACATGCGCACGCACACACACACACAATACAATAATGCCCGTCCGAAGATGATGGCAGGTCCTGAAAGGACCGACAGTGTTTCAGTCACGCGGCACAGAACTTCGAGTGGCGAGTGAGGTCCTGGCGACGGCGAAAATCTCGGCCGCAGTGGCACCTGAAATTCCGAGACATAGGTTTAGGCGGCTGGATGGTGTTGCAGGCCAGTCTCCACGCACGACGGTCCTCGGCTAGGCTGTACCAGTCATTGATGTGGCGTTCCTCTAGGTCAATCACGATGTTGTCACGCCAACGCTTGCGTGGCCCGTGGCGAGGGCGCGTCTTCTGGAGCTCACCAAACAATACGCACTTCGGTATTCTGTCGTCCGACATGCGTCCGACATGCCCCAACCAGCGAAGACGGCGCGTCCTCAGCATCTCCACCACTGATCGCGCGCACACACACACACACACACACACACACACACACACACACACACACACACAGGCAGCAGGAAAAGTTACCAAGGTAGAACTTGTTTTCATGACTACACTTGGACACAAGCTCTGACCTCTTGTTGAGGGAGCGGGTCTTGTCGGCCCAGGTAATCTTCAGCTTCTCGGCCAGACACAGGTTGCAGCGCTCCGAGATGTTCGAGTATGATGCGGCCCTCCTCACAACGGACCACCTGATACTGTATGGTTTGTTTCCATCCTTTAGTCTCCAAATACATGTTTGTCTTGACAGTCTCGTTGAGGTTTCACTCTTCACACACACACGCACGCACGCACACACGCACGCACGCACGCACACACACTTATTATTTCAGCAAAATAATAATACTAGTTGAAATTCTCGTTCTGCACTTTAATGCTAGTAACCGAAGTGACAATTGTGCGTAAAAAGGATCGTAAAGAACGCCATAGAATTCAAAATCGGCTGCAGCGTAGATCTACGACAGTCTGGAAAATATAAAAGTACTTGCATACAATCATCATTACTTTAGGGTTTCAATATCTCTTGAATGACTGTGAATGCACATGCGGCGGGGTAAAAAACACAAGACTATTGACATTGTGTTCTGCCTCTCGGTGTGCAGTACGGACCTCAGTTGTAAGCTCACAACTCCCTACTCAGTTTCCCACGGCTGTACTGCAGCATCAGCTTAACTTCTATGTGATCTTCCAATGTACGTTGCTAGCGGTATGATATTGCCGATTCGAGGAGAAGAATACTCATTCAGGAGCTGCAGATGAGGTGAGCACAATCTTCACAGCCTTCTGCTGAGGTAGTTATCTTGATTCTTCCCCCATGCCAGATGATCAACATCATTGGGAGCATCAGCTGTAGCAACCTTGTAAGCGGATTGGTGAGGCTCGTTTCGTCTATCTGTTCACTATCACTCTCCTTGTACTGCTTCCATGAGACGGATTAATGAAGTCGATTGATGGATCTTAGCTTTCACCTTCTACTGCTTTCTGCGGCAATGTCGCTCCGAAGCATTATGGCGTTATGCCTTTTCGGCATCACTAGAAGGTGACACACTTCACAAAACAACTTTCCAGTAGAGATGGTCTGAAAAACTCTTGAGGGCACTGCGTAACTCAAGCGGCAGAGCTGATACGCACAACCTTCGTACATTGTCCTGGTTTGCGTTGGCTTTTGGCTTTCAGTTTCAGGTCCGCTCAAATAATTTTGAGCACGATATTCAAGCTCCTTTCGATTTTGGCAAATTTTCTGGTTCACTTTCATCCGACTGTTCTGACTGACACTTTTTCAACCATTTCGTATGACTTGTCGCCATCAGAACTACCTCCGCCGTCATCCATACCTGGCCGCTCTCGCTAAGCCACGGACACTAGAACTAAAGTGGAAGGAAGATCGACTAAGGTGACTGATATCACTTTCTATCAAAATGAGAAACATAGCCATGTAGGCGGTGAAGCTTATAGCTTCACAAGGAGTGAAACCTACGAGCCGCTCGTAGAAGGCAGTGCAGCTGCGGTGGGAACTGACTACCCGAACCACATCGCTTGCGACATGTAGCATTTTGACCGGCTC